TGATCACTGGAAAATAAAAAAGTCTTGTTACCATTTTCTGAGCTACTTGTTCTCTTGCGCAAAGTATATTTTGCTTAATCTTGAAAATTTAAGATCTAAAAGTAGGTGGCTCTTTTTGTGTTCACAGTTGTTTTGCGGACAAAAATCTTAAACTTTGGACTACTTTGCAGTTTCTGCTTGGGTTTTTTTTTGTGTGTGAAAAGAGAAGGGAGCCTGAGCTGCATTCTGCCACCGTTATCCCCTTCTTCCATGCGAGGAGATGAAGATACTGGCAGTGGGGGAAAAGCAGGATTTACAGAGTGTGTACAGAACATATCACTTCTGTGATTAAGTATGCAGTTAATCTCTGCGGATTAAATACTAAACACAAATGCAAACCAAAACCCTCTGCTAGTTTTGAAAGAAGTGTGCCATTTAGAGCTGGGCTTTTGGGTGAGCCCCTGAATGGAGTTGCTGGGCTGGCCAAAGGGGTGGTAGGATACACCAGCATGGGCTGGGAAGGCAATGGGTCACCCTCTTTGCTAGAAAGCAGCACAGGGCTTCATTTTATTTAGGGTTGCCTTGGGAGAGTAATTCTTGTACAGAATAGAATAGGAATCTCTGGCTTCTTCCTTTAATTTCTAATTTTTTTAATGGCCTGCATAATTTAAAAGCCCAGTTCTCCTTTCTGTTTACTGAGTGCTGAAACCCTGATTGTCAGAAGTCACAGTCTTGTGCCTTGCCTGCAGATGTTGGCCTTGCTTGTGTGTAGTAGACTCTGTTTCTGAGGTGAGAAGGGTTTTAGGAGACCCAGCCCATGGCAGTAAGCAGGGAAAGTTCCCCGTTTGCTCAGGTGGGACATATCCCATCTCCTATCAGAGAAATTGGGGGTTTGGCAAATGGGAGTTGTTACGCTCTGAGAGATCTCAATCTTCATCGTGGCAGTAATTATTTCCCCCAGGAAGCTTTGTGTTTCCAGATTCCCAAGACTGAAGACACCTTGCCCCAGGGTAGGCACCGGTGTGATGGGTAGGACACCTTCTGGGAAAGGGAAGGTGCTTGGCTCAAATATTGGCTTGATGTTGGGTAAAAAGGGATACGTGAAGCAGTATTGCAGAAGCTGGGCATTCAGTCAAATCACCAGCTGTTGGATGAGCTGTGGTTGTTGCCCGTGTGTGGTCTTAGCCCATGGCAAACGAAAGGTAATGCAATTTAGCTGAACTTTATCATTGCTAAATTAAATTACCTCCTATCAGCTTCAGGGGATGAGCGTGCACGTGGAGAGCTACCACAGCTCAGTTGATGTACAGCCTGCTGTGACTCCAGGGTACCACAACTTTACTTGCTTCTCCTGGTGTCCAAGTGATAGGTAAGAGCTAGTTCCAAGGAGAAGGAAGATATAATTGTGCCTTCAATTAGAGAACAGTGTCCCTAAATCTGGTAACATTTTTAATTTGGGGAGTTCAGGCTGCTGGGTTGATGGAAATAGAGATTTCCAGCAATTATTGTACCTGCTTTAAAAAGCAAAAGTGTGCCTTTTCCAGCAGATGTTGACTCCCTTGCCAGTAAGGAGGTCTTCTTGCCTGTAACAGGCACCAGTGCCAAACACATTTTTGTTCTCTTGGGGATGTGTTTCCTGAAAGATTCCTTTTATCTGCAGTGAATTCTTGTGCTTTAAACACAGGAAACATTACTGGGGTCTTTCCAAATCTCTGTGAGAACTTTTCTTTTTTTTTTTTTTTTTTTTAAAACTGAATTAAAATTGTCCCATTTGATAGAATTTCAAGCAGCAGTCTGTCCTCATCTTCAGTTCCTTCATCTCCAGGATCAGTACCATGCCTAGGAATGCCAGGAGGTACTGATCTTGCCCATGGATGACTGGGCAGCCTGGAGGCGTGCCCACTTTGATGGCCCTAATGGGATTTGAAAGGGAACTGGTATAAAATGGTGTTGGAAAGGACATTGGATGGCACTTTGGCTCCGTGGCATTTACAACAGGAAGAGCTAGTTGTTAGTGAAAGCTTTTGTAGCAAGACTGTGTCAGCGCAGCTTGAGGAGACCAAGAATTGCAGGAGGTGCCTTTGCTCTGGTGGGTGGTGGGATGATCTGGATTTGGTCAGACCCAGTCTGCAGGGGCTCAGCGGCTGGGGATGGAGAGATGATAGAATCATAGGATGGTTTGGGTTGGAAGGGACCTTAAAGATCATCCAGTTCCAACCCCCTGCCCTGGGCAGGGACACCTCCCACCAGACCAGGTTGCTCCAAGCCCCATCCAGCCTGGCCTTGAACCCCTCCAGGGATGGGGCAGCCACAGCTTCTCTGGGCAACCTGGGCCAGGCTCTCACCACCCTCACACCAAAGAATTTCTCCTAATAGCTAACCCAAATCTCCCCTCTTTCAGTTTAAAACTGTTTCCCCTTGTCCTGTCATTGCACTCCCTGATCCAGAGTCCCTCCCCATCTCTCCTGGAGCCCCTTGAGGGACTGGAAGGGGCTCTAAGGTCTCCCCAGAGCCTTCTCTTCTCCAGGCTGAACCCCCCCAACTCTCTCAGCCTGTCCTCACAGCAGAGGGACTCCAACTTCTGATCATCTTCCATACTGGCTCCAGAACCTCTAGGAGGGGCTTGCTCAGAGGAAATGTTGAATCTTTTGCCTCCAAAAACTTGTCCTGGCAGCGTGAACATGACCATGGTGATGGGCAGTGCTTTCTGCAGTCCCAGTGGTTATGGCTGGAGCTGTTTGGTACTGGTGATGTGATGCTGGCAACACCACTGCAGCGTTGTGGGGTCAGGGTCACAGGTGCTTCTACTTCCTCGTGATTTGGCTACGCATCCTGTTCTCTTGCAAGCCAGGGCTGAAGTCTCCTGTTATTGGCTGCTAAAAGATTTTGGGGTTGGAAGTCGTCCCGTTCCCATCATCTCCCAGAAGTTGCTCCAGCTTGGCCCGTTCTTTTCCCCAGCTCCACTCTTTCTCCTTTAGTGGGGTTTCCTGGAAGCCAAGGTCAGAATGTATTCCTTCCCCATACGTGAGGTTTAGCATCTGTCTTGTGTGACACAGATCGTTGCACGTGGCAGAACGCATGTGTGAGTTCATGCACAGCCAGCTTTCACTGCACAATGGAGATGTGGCTAAATGGGAATTAGGATTAATACTGGATTTAAGATGCTCGTAGTCGGCTGGTAATAACCTAATCTCCTCAAAGGCTGCAGGCAGGCTGGCAGCGTTCAGCCCAAGGCCGTTGTTGTTTGCAAAACCTGAAAGAAATTGAATTTTGATACTAAGAGAGCTTTAATCAGAGCTTTTCAAGATAGGGATGAGAAGAGCATATACTATCTCCAATGCGGCCTTTTAATTTCTTGAAGGTATGACAGTCAGCTAGGCTGCTGTGGGTTCGATGGGCGTTTGACAGTAATATTTAGCCTTTTAATTTCTTTAAGGTATGACAGTCAGCTAGGCTGCTGGGTTCGATGGGCGTTTGACAGTAATATTTTTCATTTCCTTTTGGAAGAGCTTAGGGATCCTGATTGATTTTTATGTATTTATTTATTTATTTATTTTTAGAAATGTCTAAATTGCATTCTGAAAGTTGATAGACCAAAGTCTCTGTGTAGGCAGAGCGAGATACCTCCGGGGAGGGCAGGAAGCCCTCTCCTGGTTTGAAGGCTTTAGATGAGCTCTAGATGTCCTTGGGGGTGAGGAGCCTGGAGGGACAGCCGAAGCATGGAGCTCCTCGGTATGGGGTCGTCACGCAGCACTGAGCCTGTGTTGGTCATAAAATGTTAAATTTTAAGGCCCGTGGTGGAAGAGAATGTGTTTTTAGATGAAATGTTCTCTCCTCCCCTCTTCGCTGTAGCTGCAGGGCCATTTTCTGTTTCCTTTGCTGAATGCCAGGCATTTAGTTAGCTAAATAACTCGCATCTTCAATTAAGTCTTGATGAAGGTGGAGTTTATGCAGGCTTCGCCCTGTGTCCTCAAACAGACAGAGGTGTAAAGTTGACTTTGAATACCTACTTTTTGGTTCCTTCCTTCCAGCCTTCTCTCGGCCAGCAGTTCTGCCTGATTCTGCCCAAGTTTTGGGAGCTCTCTGGCTTTTCTCTCAGCTCCTGGCAGCCCAGCAAAGTGATGTTCTTACTCCGCCTGCTTTTCCTGTGTTTTAAACCATCCTGTGGATGGGTCTCCTTTGCAGAGGGTGCCAGAGGTCCCCATAGTATGATGATGTACATCACTCTCGGTCCAAGTTTCTCTACCATCTTGAGCCACTGATGCTGGAAGGTGCGGAGGCGCATCGTCTAGTTTTGAGTGGAAAGCTTGTTCTGGTGCTGCTGGTACAATCTGATATCCATGTGGCCAAAAAGAAAATGACTCCTCTGCAGAGGTGATGATGAAGTGTCTTTATCAAGCCCTGAACCCGCTCTATCAATTTGTTTTTTCTTAAGCCTACTTATTCGGCGCTCACCTTCATAGGTTTCTTTTGATTGGTTTTCTGCTGCTTTCGTGTTGGTTCTCCTTCCTAAGGTTTCCTCTCCCTGTTGCCTTATGCAGAATATGTTATCAAATAATCCTATTAATTCTCTTAGACAATCTTTAAAACACTTACCACTAAGCAGGACATTTTTTCTGAGGTATGAAGTTTCCTTGCATACCTTAAGTCACCTGGCTCTCGGGATGTGAAATTGGGAAACAAGCTGAAGCTTTGCCTTCCCAGGGCTCGGGTTCCACATGATGGTCTTGATTAAGATTTGCAAGACAGTGACTTTATTTAATTTACTGTTGCAACTGTCTCTATTGTTCTTGGAGAATAGGAGAGGGCCAGAAGCATTAGGTCAGTTGGAATTCAGATCTCTGCAGGGGCTCACAAGTCCCTTAAAGCACAAGTTTGTTGAAGGCAGGTTAATGAGAAAGTTTGTGTTCTATTTTTATAAAAAAAAAAACAAACAAAGCCAGGCAAATCCTTGGTCTTTCAGCTTCCAAAGCCAGGCAAATCCTTGGTCTTTCAGCTCCATTTCTTCTTTTCTTCTACAGAGATTAATGGTAAGGACACGAGGATAGAGAGGGACCCCAGAGGAGGCCGGCACCCAGCAGCAAAGGTTAGTAGAGAGGTGCATGAACTGTACCAGCACAAGAAGGTTTGTTTTCATCAGTTAAAAGCATCCAGCTTTCACTGACCGAGGCCTTAGCCCTTGGTAGGAGCCAACTGGCTTGGTTTAAGGCCGACAAGAATTCCTGGAAGTGCTTTGTGAGCATCTTAAGACTGTTGTTTTGTCCGGTTTTACAGCTGGCTGGAGGGTTTGGTCTGTGGCTTTCCTGGCCTGTGGTGGGAGGTGGCAGAGACTAATTTAGAACAGTGTTGTGGAATGAGACCGTGCCATGCTGGGTGAGGCCTGGGAGTGAAGAGCAGGGATTTCCAAACCTGTAAAAACCCAGGAGAGCGTGGGTTAATGCTACTGCTTGCTGTTCCAACCTGGAGCAGACAGGGAGCTCTTAAACCCCCCTGAAGAGAATCGGGGGTGAGGGGGACTTCTCTGTGTCACTTCAACTTGCATCCGTTGTACAAATGATCACAGTGCTCCAGGTGGGGTCTTACAAGAGCAGAGTAGAAACCGAGGCCTTAGCCCTTGGTAGGAGCCAACTGGCTTGGTTTAAGGCCGACAAGAATTCCTGGAAGTGCTTTGTGAGCATCTTAAGACTGTTGTTTTGTCCGGTTTTACAGCTGGCTGGAGGGTTTGGTCTGTGGCTTTCCTGGCCTGTGGTGGGAGGTGGCAGAGACTAATTTAGAACAGTGTTGTGGAATGAGACCGTGCCATGCTGGGTGAGGCCTGGGAGTGAAGAGCAGGGATTTCCAAACCTGTAAAAACCCAGGAGAGCGTGGGTTAATGCTACTGCTTGCTGTTCCAACCTGGAGCAGACAGGGAGCTCTTAAACCCCCCTGAAGAGAATCGGGGGTGAGGGGGACTTCTCTGTGTCACTTCAACTTGCATCCGTTGTACAAATGACTTGGAAAAGAACAAGCACGGAGATAGGGCTTAAAAAAGCCCACAACCAACCACCAAACAAAAAACCCAAAGCAGGAGACTTCAAGAAGACTCCTCGTGCTGGATGGTTTGAACGGTGCAAATATTAGGGGGGTAGGGGTGGGAAAGTGGCACAAAAGCAGGAGACTTCAAGAAGACTCCTCGTGCTGGATGGTTTGAACAGTGCAAATATTAGGGGGTAGGGGTGGGAAAGTGGCACACTGAGCTGGGCATTAGCCAGGAGGTGCTGCCAGTAGGTTAAGCACCCCTTCAAGTCGAGGAAATTTTGATGGCTGGTTTGGCCAAAGCCTTGGTATTCCAAAAAAAAGCAATGGTGCTGTGTCTCTTTTTGTGAGGGCTGGTAGAGATGGACGGGTGTGAGTAAACTGCTGTGGTGCTGATAGTACCTTAGGGAGCCCGGGGTGATGGAAAAAGTGTCTTGTGGATGCTCAGGGGCAGTTTCTTATCCTTTCTTCCACGGAGTCAGCTCTGCCCTCAGCAGCGAGGCTAAAAGGGCTGACAGATGCCCTTTCAGTATTTATAAAGGGTTAATCCCATAAATCCCATGGGTTAGGGTTCTGGAAGGTAGGGGGGCTCAAGAGAGCTGGACAGTATTCAAATATCACTTTCTCCAAGCTCTACAAATATGAAGAGCCTGGAGGATGATGAGGAAAGGCTGAGGGACCTGGGTCTGTTTAGTCTGGAGAAGAGATGGCTGAGGTGGGATCTGATCAACACCTATAAATACTTCAAGGGTGGGTGTCAGGAGGATGGGGCCAGGCTTTTTTCAGTGGTGCCCAGGGACAGGACAAGAGGGAACGGGCACAAACTTGAGTATGAGAAGTTCCATCTGCACGGGGAGGAACTTCTTTGCTCTAAGGGTAGCAGAGCCCTGGCAGAGGCTGCCCAGGGAGGTGGTGGAGTCTCCTTCTCTGGAGACATTCAAAACCCAACTGTGCACAACCTGCTGTGGGTGGCCCTGCTCTGGCAGGGGGCTGGACTGGATGATCTCCAGAGGTCCCTTCCAACCCCATAGCATTCTGTGATTCTGTGATTTTCAGCCTTGCCCATGGAAGGCCAGCCCATGTCACCACAGCTCATACAGCTCCACCAACACTTCTTCCTTCAAGATTTCCCAGCTGTGGCCGGGAGCGCACAAACCCCTGTGCTCCGCTCTGCCCTGGAGAATCACATGGGGTTGGAAGGGACCTCCACCCAACACTTCTTCTTTCAAGATTTCCCAGCTGTGGCCAGGGACGCTCAAACCCCCATGCTCTGCTGTGCCCTGGCCGGCTCTGCGTGTCACAGAATCACATGGGCTTGGAAGGGACCTCCAGAGATCATCTAGTCCAACCTTCCTGCCACAGCAGGTTGCTCAGGAAGGTGTCCAGGTGGGGTTTGAACACAGAGGGCCGTGGTGGGATGCTCTGTGAGCACCTCCCTGTGTGGTGATGCTGAACGTAGGAAGCCGCCTGCGCAGCGTTGCTCATTCATCCCCCTGGGCGAGCTCAGACGCCGCTTTATCTCTCCCCACGAGCGGGTGGGTGATCCTGGGCAGAGCTACCAGCCAGACCCCGAGGCTGGCAGGGGTCCTGTGGGCATGGTTTTGGGGGGCAGCTTGGTTTCTTACCCGATAACCCTCCCCCGGCAGCGCAGAGCACCCTCCTTCTAAACCCTGAGCCTAATCCTCTTTCGCAGCCGGCGCTGCCATCCATCCCCGCAGGAAGCATTAGCAATATCACACAAAGTGCCGAGACTTCATTGTTGTGTGGTTCTTTTTCTTTTTTTTCTTTTTTTTTTCCCCCTAATCTGCCAAGGGAGCTGGGGCGAGATGGAGAAAACTTTAACCTATTCCGTGCCTCGGTGGTAAATAATTAGTTTTTCACTGAGTGGGGAGAACCAGAGGATGTGTGTGTGTGTGTGTGTGAAGGCTTTTAAGATAAAGTAAACGCAAGGGCTCACAGGCTTATCTTGCCCTGTGGAATTTGGGAAAGGACTCGTCCTTGGATCCTGGTTTGGTGATTTGGGGAATCTCTTAGAGCTGCCCCGAGTGACGTCCAGGAATAAGGCACCCTTTGCCAGCCAGCAAGAGCTCGGGCTTTTGTTCCAGGACCTGGAACAAAAGGCTCTGGGTGTCTTTAGAATAACGTGCAAATTTGAGTGGGTGGGATGCGGAGAAGGTTAATAGGGCAGGCGAACAGAGGAGGAGCTGAGCTTGGGGAGAGGAGGAGAGGAACGCCGAGGACATGGCAGCGGGGAGTAAAACAGGCAAAGCAGCCCCTTTTCCCCCTCTTAAAGTTAACTTTTAAGTCACCGCTGGCGGTTCTGGGGTAAGTGTGAGCTGGGTGCTGCTGAAAATAAGGGTATTTCCACCCCGAGGGGTGTTGGTGAGCTCTTGAGCCCAGCTCATCACAAGGGTTTTGGGGTGGGGGGGGGGGGGGCTGGCCGGGAGGGCCCGGTGGCTTGCCGTGAGGGCACTCGTGGGTGAGGATTCACCTTGGGTTAATGCTTTACATCCAGAAAACTTCTCTTTGCTGCTGCCCATCGTAAAATCTTCCTTTTTCACACTTGGCTGGGCTTTCCTGGGGCAAGTCCAGGTGTGGGGCTGAAGCTGGGGAAAAGGGGGGGTGCTGCCCCAGCCTGGCAAGGTGTGGGGGGGGCACAAATACAGGGAGGTGGCGTGGGGTGTCTGTGGAAGTCCTTTAATCCAACCCACCACAAGAGCAAAGGAACAAAACAAAAGCCTCTCAAAAATAGCACGAGATAAGGATCTGGGGAATTTGCTTTTTATTTCTCTCAAGAGTCCCCGGAGACTTCTTCTTTTAAGGGAAGAAATGTAGCTTTCAAGGTCGAGCCTCTTCCCCCCCCCCCCCCCCCCTTTCCTTCAGACTTCAAAGGCAGTCAGCTGAGAGCTTCTTAGGAATGTTACATCTGTTCAGAGTAAACGTGTGGTGGATCGGAGGGAAAGGCACTTCTTCCTCTTCCAAAGTGCCCGAAATTTGTACACAAAAGTTCTCTAGAGACGGCCTCGGTGGGGACGGAGGGAGCCGAGGGTGGAAACCCAGCAAGTGGCAATAGATATCTGTGGGGACATTTCATTTGAGCACAATTTCTTATTTTCCTGATGCTTTAATGGAAAAAAAACCCCACATTTTAATGTCTGTGCCTCTAAAAAAAACAACTGAATGGGAAATTGAACCCGAGCAAACGGGCTGAGAGGTGACCTCCTCATCCCTGTCTGCTCCTGCCCAAACTCTTGGCTTGTGCTGGGCTTTGTACCTCCTCACACATGGTCTTGTCTTCTTCTTAAACAGCTTGTTCTTTTGCTTTCAGTCTTAATCTACGTGTGGCAAGGGGTGAAATGGAAGAGTTTGGCTTTCTGACTCTTGGGTTCCTTCACCGCCTGATCCAAAGCCTGTTGGCAGTGGAAGGGCTTTGGATCAGGCACTTGATGTCCACCAAAAAATGGCACTGGAAGTTTTGGGGAGGGTGGTACAGCAGGTGGGCTCAGGAACTGGATCTAGACCAAGGTGGGCTCAGGAACTGGATCTCTGCTTTTAATGGGTGGGGATTTATTGCTGATTTTGATGAAAGCTGCTGCGGGGCATCGCTGAGACCTAGTTTAACCGAGGTGGGCTCAGGAACTGGACCTCTGCTTGTAATGGGTGTAATGGGTGATGAAAGCTGCTGCGGGGCATCGCTGAGAGCGCTTGGAAATCCTCTCCAGGGTAAGACTTAGGGACAAGAAACAGGGTCTCAGGTGGCCTTGTGCGCAACTGCCTCCTCACATCTCCAAAGTGTAACTGAGCTGCAAATGGTTTTCACACCAATTATTTCCCTCTCTTGCCTTTGAAATGAGCCGGGGAGAGGGGGGGGTGGTGGTTTATCCCATCTCCCTGGTGCAGCCCAAGCTTGGGGGCTTGTGCTGAAGCTGTTGTTTCCTCCACACCATCCCGGTGAGGAGGCCGAGGAGTGTGAGATTTGTGATGTGGCTTTGTCACACACGTACCCAGGCTGAGTGTGATAGAAATCTCGGCGCTGGCTCACTTTCGGGCTGGGTAAGTATGTTTTGTTTG